TTTGATTGTTTTATTATCAATATTCTTTAGTTTGTAAGCTTTTTAATTATCTTATCATGGTGACCTGAGATCCAGTTATTTACTTGTTGCATTCCTTATTTCCTGGAAGGGTTTGAAAGAAGTGATTACGATCCTGTAAAATGTGAGTATACTTCTTCTTCTTCGCCTTCTCTTGAATATCATCTACTTCACACACATCCCCCTCTCTCTATCTCTGTCTGTCTGTCTGTCTCTCTCTGTCTCTCTCTCTCTCTCTCTCTCTCTCTCTCTCTCTCATTCACTCTCTACCCCCACCCCTCTTTTACTTTGGTATGCTTCAATGATTTATTTCCCTCTTTTTCGGATGCGTGAGGATCTGCACGTTTTTTAAGGTTCAGCAATTTTCTCATTTCATTTTATGATTTCATTTTTGTTGTCTCATCCGAGTAGCTGAAGACTGCTTTGTTCCTTTCGGGCCGACTTGTTAAACACGTTTGTTATATAAAGATGTCCACGTTTCATCATCTACGCTGTATTTAGCTAATTGTGTATCTGTCTCTTTATCTTTCATACCTACTAAACAATTACTTTTGCCAATTTAGAGATTATCCACATTATGACTTACTTGCTAAATTTTTTGACAAAGACACGAAAGAAAAATTGACCTGTTCGTTTAGGTTAATGTCAAAAATACATCTCCAACATTTAGTAATACAAATAGTTTTCGAGTTTCCGAAAGTTATTACTTTATCGCAGACAACAGGCCATAAGTACAGTAGTGATTTCAAAGACATTCTACGTGATTGTCACTACCTATAGCAATAGCCCTCTAGACTTATCATTTGTCAGTATCTGTTCTATGATAATGAATGCACATTCTGAAATATTTGTTAGATTGGAAAAAGGTTAAAGGTAAAGACCAGTATTGGAAACGCCCCAATTTCAAAAAATGAAATGGAAGCTCTCATAACCAATCATGTGAAAGAATATGTTTTGACTAATACATGATGATAAAAAATTTGCCGGGAAACCGCCTAATATTCATATATTTGGTAAATTTGTTTCTCTCATGGTCTGTGAGAGATATAGGGTAGTCCCATATACATCTTTCTGTGTATAGTGCAGGTAACTTTACGAAGAATGGGCCAAAATTCTTATCATTTTGATGATTCCAGAACCTTGCAGATGCTAGATGCTAGATGCTAGATGATCAACCTTTTCTGATCGACTCCACAACGCTTCTTTCACAATGCAATCGCATGACCATAACTGGTCTTTACCTTTAAGATTTATTCCTTCTTAACTCTCATCCTTTCATTGATTTACTTCTACAACTACTTTACTCCTTAAGTGAGGACAGAATGAAAATGCATATAATTTAAGTATGTATAAGGGCCTTAATTTTCGGGCCATAGTTTGTAACGAAGGTCCAACAATTGCACTGTCAACCCTTTCTTTGCAGATCTCTTTAATATATATTTAGAAACTGCAATAGCATGTGGAAGAAACGAGGATCATAAAATCCCAATCGATTCACATTTATTGTTATGACCAGAACCGTAATGACATGTATTGTGGAATAGTTCGGATATTATGTCAGCGCATATCGGACTCAATGCTATGAAATATTCGAGGAATTCGGATCATATCATATCCAGAAGCACATTGTCGAAGTAAAGAAATTAATATTCACTATCAATCTGAAGAAAAATAATAGACCTGGACCTGGAAACATATGAATTTTGTAATTATTTTAGATCCCAAATGAAGGGATAGCTCAAGACACTGCAGTTATCCTTTCAGCGGGAAATCATGCATGAATATCGAATCAATTGATTGTATGGTTGAGTTCCAGCAAGCAAGACATCGTCCTCATATAATTGCTTTACTCCCTCGTCACAGATCGATGCATTAATTGTGTCATACAAGCTTATTCAATCTGAGCGGTCAATTTCCTAATAAATACTGGCCTATTTTGTTGTTCAATGAACAGATACGATGGCATTTCTTGTAACTAATTAAACACAAATTGCCTATGGGTTGTGACGGACACCAACATAATGCACAATGCGGTATTTAAAAAGTGCAATATTAAAATTTGTTTATTGCCTCTTAATTGGGACATAATACAATTCTCGAGAGTATTGCACTTTTGGGAAAAACGCTAACATATCCACATGGTATAGAACCCTGAACTGATTTGAGCTACTTCTGCCGTAGTGGCGACAAGATTAATTCATGCTGGGTCGATTTTTTTTTAAATAGCAATAATAGTTTTGTATACCGAGGAATCCTAATCAGTATATTTGTTATTATTCATCAGGGCCCTGCAATTACCCCAGAAATTACAAGGTATCTATTTTTACATGAATGAAAAGTGGCAAATATTATTGTGGATTATTGACAAGCTAAAGGACGTCGATACCGGGCTGGGATTCGAACCCTCAAACCTAGGATTGAGTGTCAAGTACATGAACCACTATACCGTGTAGTAAAAATGATATGGCATGGTCCTAGTACGATTCCCTGCGGCACTACAACGAGCTATGAAAAGGCATTTGACATTCCTTATACACGGACAGAATATGGGTACCTATAATGATAGAGTTGAATGACTATATACTAAAGGAATTTGTTTAATTGAATACCGTTTTATCTTCGTCCGCTACAGCTATATTCAGGCGCGGATCCACGGGCCGATTCTACCGGCCCAGACCCCCCCCCCCCCCCCCTTGCCCCCTTCAACCGGTTTAAAAAATGGGATAGTAACGTAAACGTTACCTTTTTAAAAACAAAGAATACCCCATCTTACTTTGCTGATACCACATCGTCTTAAGCTCGTATCAGTATTAGTATGAGCCAATATAAAGTTATTACTCTTTATTCAGTTCAGTATAATGCTTTTCCTCAAAAATAGTTTCGCTATTATGTTAGGGTTGAGACGCTAAGAAATGGTTTCAAATGTACGTTACACAAACCCTGAACCATTGCATAATGATGGTGGTTCTCTCTCTCTCTCTATTTATTTTAATCATACATTATCAACTACGTAGAAAGCAGCAACAGAAAACTTAGGGTTATCTTGGATAGGTGAAAGTGAGAGTTAAAAAGAAAGTCATGTAAAAATGGCGCTTCGCCTCCCCCCCCCCCCCCCCCCCCCCGCTTATTCACCGACAGACAGAGTCGGTGCAAAAATTTTCCGGCTTGCTGATTCGCCTTTGACCCCCCCCCCCCCCCCGGCTGGATCCGCCCCTGGCTATATCACTGATAATGAAGGCATGAACGTTAGTTCACATTATACGCTAACCCAATGTTTGGACTAAATCTCCGTGTGACAACACGTCAGCCTCAAATCTCAGGCTGTATGGACAACGAAATTCGGTTGAAACCGAATCTGATTTGGATTTCTTTGTGGAGGTCTGTATATCCACTCCGCCATTATCTATTGCTATTTAAACATTGCTCACTCCATTTAAATTCAAGCTTTCTGTAACAGGTGGTTTGAAGTATCCGATCATTGATTTCAGATATCTTCGCCCAAAATCTCTTAAAGGCATCGTTTAACATTGTTAAATCTGGGTGTATGGACCTACGTATTACCAGTGTCTGTGATATGGTGTAACATTACAGCCCTAGAAAATCGCGCTTCAAAATGGTCATAAAGTGCCTCAAAAAGCAAAAATCTTTGAGCGACCGGTTTTACCATACCCATTTTATCCAATAGATTGTAGTGTTGTAAAAAAAACGTTAGGAAAACGAAAAATGAAATTTCGATTTCCAATCATAAATATCTTGATAATCAGACAAGACGATCGGCTTGTAAAAATCATTGGATTCCTAACTGACATAAAGGTTTATAATTATGATTGCAGCACGAGCTAAATCCAGGATTTTGTTTCAGAATTTGAGGCAATGTTACCGAGTCACTTTAACGTGTCTAATGCCATATGGCATACATTTCTGGAAAATCCCTGTTCCAGTTTTATGGATCTGTATCTTATTAACATATTTGAGACCTACCGAAGGTAATCCTCCCCACCGTCTACCTTGAAATATCATTTTGTGAATCAATATACCATGATGAGATCGATATAATCCACAATCCATGTTTCAGTTCTTTCAATTTCTGATGAGAAGCTAAAAATACGTCTCTCTTACGAGAGAGAGAAACAGGTACATTCAAAATCGGATTATTTTTCATACACTGATTGGATTTACTTTGTGATTTTTGTTCTCGTCAGTGTTGAATACACACCTTAAAGAAAATAATAATAGAAAACATGTAATTGACGATGGCCTAAAGCTTAGATCTTGTGACGGATTAGTTGGCTGAAAATACAGATATAGACTCAAAGATTATTATACCCAAAGAAGTACAATATCTTTATTATATTTTTTTAAAAGACAATACTATGTCAATTCAGATGTTTAGTACATGTATGATACATAGAATAAGGAAACAATCTAATTAAAGTAGGCCTATGTACAATATATTGTTATGAAATTTGTATTTAGTAACAAGTTTGAATATACCATCGGCAATCGCAAGGCCTTCCAGAAAGTCAACCATAGCCATTTTCGAAAGCATTGAGCATCGCCTATTGAAATATGCGACATGACAGTACATTATTACAATCCTTTGTAAATTCTATAGCCAATACTAGAGGTCATGGAAACAGCCCTAGAGTCTTTTTGTTTAGAGTCTTCGAGGTCTTTTTAGTATCCTATTATCAGACTAAAAGAAAAGAATGTGTATCGAGAGAACGGCACTAAAAAGTAGTTCCAATAATTACTCGAATGGCGCCGCAAGTAGTGGTATATTCCATCTATCTTGATCTATATGACGTTCTGTCGACATTCGTTTTAGCAGGTTTCCGGTATGCGCGCGCACCTTCCATTATGTGTTTTGTCCGTCTGAGCGTTACGCTAATCCAGCCGCTAAATCACGCGCACGATCGAATAGCTGATTTTCAATCTTTATTGAATGAGAGGACTTTACTACTCATTAAGCTTCCACCCAACCCCGTCATCCATATCTCGCTCCAACCGGCCCTCGACTGAGAGCGGATTTGCCCGGACCTTAACGCAGGCTTAAAACCATTGTGGTACGACTGCAAAAACGCGAATTGTTTTTAGCTTGGAAGACAGGTGTTCCTTTGCCGTGCGATCCAAACTGTTGCACGGAGTTATTCCATCGGCTTGAAGAAGAAGATTTAGTGAGGAGAGAGGAAAGGAGAAGAGACATTATTTTAGGATAAGGAGTTCTTTTGGGGGAAGCGGGAGGCTTGTGGTGTTTCGGTTTTAGATTTCTAACATTGTGTGTTGACTTTTGATATTGTCGAACGGAGGATTTGGATTTAGAGGTAAGTACTGAATTATTGTTGCTTTTTCACCAATCCTTTTAAGTCGGTTTAGACTATATTCATGTTCAAAGGAAAAGAAAATAGGTAACGTGCTGGTTTCTTTTCGATACTTCTTTTTTTCTAAACCAAGATATTTTAATACATAATGCAATAATATCAATGGAGAATTAAGGTTTAAGTCTCCACTACTTCCCACTTTGTGCTTTTGCAAGATCATTTTAACTGATGGGAAGAAAAAAGAAATGCCACCAATAATTGTCAAATGTACTGAATTAGAATTCACACTATCAAAATACTAAGTGCGTAACTGAACAAATATTAAGAGCACGGGAGAACTCATGTAGTTTTATTCTAAGTCCTTTTCCCAAATAAGTAAACCCTAACTTACGTTCCTCTATTTCCCGTTCAAAACGATGTCCTGTGTATATAGGAGTCGAAGAAAAATCTCTATGAAAGATACTTGTATGTATGTTTCGTGAAAAACACTACAGTATGTTTATCTCAGAAAGTGGTCATAAGTAGAAAACAGCTTTTATAATTTGTGTAATGCTGACAAAAGATATGTGTACTTTTTTGTCAAGGGAATGAGGGAATAAGACTATATAGAAATAATATATTTTTCAGGTTGGCTACAGATCATTTAACAAGAATGCATGTTTCTCAATGTTTGTGTTACTTGTGGCAATATCACTGATACTTTTGAAAAAGCATATCTTGCTTAAAATCTGTTGGTCATCTTTCTTTTAAAGAAAGACGTTATCTAACAGTGAAACGTCAGATTTAGGTCCTCTCCGAGAGACTTGTTGACAAAATCAAGTAGGAAAAACCCGATAAATATTTTCCTCTTGAGAAAAAGATTCACTTTATATTTTTATAGAGCATGAAAGTGATAGGTATATATAGAAAAAAACACCGACCGTGCTTTACACGTTTTAAGAGATTGTTCTTTCAATTTTGCCTTATAAGTGTCGTGTAAATTGTATTTTGAGTAACACATTCATTCGAATATTACACAAAATCATGTACAATTGTAAATTATTTATCAACATAAATCTAAATTATCATTATTTTAGTGAGAAATCCAGGGTTGAGCACATTTCTTGGATAAGAAAAACAACAACATAGCATTATCGGAAGATCAAACGTTCTTACTCGGCATGCTCGGGTTAATATCGTACTGGTTTATAAATTGAGACATTCGAACTAATCATCGATTCATGATGAGTGCTACAGAAACATCAATGAGTAATGAATAAAAGCACAAATTGTTATGATTATTGTTATCACTCGAATAATAACCAGAAAATATACCAGAACATTATGGTGTGTAATTCAATTCACTCTTGCAGCTGTTTTTTCGGATTTGCTCAATCGGATCCATATAAGATCGTGATGGTGCTGCCAATCGCTGGGCAGTCGGTCCGCCCCCCCCCCCCCCCCCCACTCAGTGTTATTTAGGGTACGCATATGTATGTTCCCTCCTTTTGAAAACTCCCCCCTAAGTCCGGTGTGTAAATAGTCAATACGGGCCGGATTTTTGTGTACTACGAGCCGGACTTTGGTGCGTGAAAAGTACTCCTTTATCAGACATTTTGGGAACACGCATGGTATCCCTCCGTTTAAGGAGTGGGGGGGGGGGGCGGGAGTCGGTAGGAAGAAAAACAATATATACAAATCTTTACTCCAGTTTCAAAGAGACTGCACTGGTCGATGAAGCTTGCGTAGAACTCAAACTTTTTTTGGTTCGGGTTTACATCTCAATGTCCACACACTACTTATTCCAATGTGTTTGCCACTACTTGCTGAAGGCATGGAAAGCGACAACCACAATTCTACGCTCCCCATTTGGATAATGGTAATGTTATGTGGACTTAATATTTCAATTTTTCTGAATAAACTGAATAAAGTGATTATCAAAGTCCTAATCAGATGTTCTGAATACCTTCATTACCTCTCATCCACTCTAATATTCAATACAATAGTTATCGGTCATGCATAAAACTAACACACACTTTGCATAAAGATACCTCTGTGGCTGTTTCTATATCAAATGAACAAACTATTTTGAAAAATGTACATACAGTGTACATGTGTATATATTTATATATATATAAACATGAAATACATGATCCTATACATATTTTAAAATCTTGCCAGCATAGACAGTCATGACAGCGGGGGATTATGAGCTTTACAAACTAGATATCATTCGTGTATTAAGAACAAAACAGCATGTAATATTATCAAGCTTTGCACCAACTACATTTTGATGGATTATGAGCTTTACAAACTAGATATCATTCGTGTATTTAGAACAAAACAGTATGTAATATTATCAAGCTTTGCACCAACCACATTTTGATGGATTATGTTGATGGATAATTCTTGAAAATCAATCGGAAGTGCTGTATAACGTGTGTAGGGTAGATGACAAGCAATCGGCTAAAAATCGTTTGGTGTCGAAATGTTAAGAAAAAATGTCCTACGAGATAGGGAAAGAACGAAGAATCAAGAATTCGACAAGTTGAAGAACAATTGACTTTACAGCATAGAACAACTTAAGGTTTAACCACTTTTAGTGAAGTCGGTGGAATTCTAAATCATTCTTTTACTGAAACGTAGGAATTCCCAATAAATTGTAAATAGATTTACGATGCAACAGTCTAATTTGAAGCAGTATCCAGTTGAAGGTTGATAGTGGCAAGGCATGTTAGCATTCTAATATATATGTGTAGGTGTATGTACCATCGTTTCACCATTGCAGACGGTTTAATTTTGCTTATCAAGCCTCTCTCTCTCTCTCTCTCTCTCTCTGTCTTTTCCTCCACCCTCCATTCTGTGTAGTGTATACCACTCTTCAATGTGTGAAAAGGGACTGAGATGGCGCTCTTTTAACACTGAATTTCCTTTATCCATGTCTTTAAAAAAATTAATGTGATTTTCTCCTTTTTTGCCCAATTTTTTTCTTCAAGAAAACCTTGTAGTAATATTGTGAGTAAACAATTTTCAACGAAGGAAAATCGAAGCTGATAAGATAGAAATTACATTTGGTGAAAAATATATAATAGGGGAACAATAATTGTAATCAATTCATTTGAAAATACTAAAAATATAGCAGTTGACAAATCTTTTTCATTTATGAGAAACCTTCACCTAAGAAGAGCATCAACTTATTTATGCAATTTGCGTTCTGGCAATTGTGGTAAAAAGGATAATAGCAGGCGAATGAAACGATTCATCACCACACACACCTGGGAAGGAAGCATCCATAAATTTGAATACATTTACTTGATAAATGACTTTCATAATAAAATGGCGATGCCTATGCCGTGTTGACAATCTGTACATTATTCTTACTTTATGCCTCTCTCTTACACTTTGGAGGGAAATCTTGTAAATTAATGGGCAAGAATATAATAAATCTCTCGAATAGTAAGGTCATTTTTCCTGTAAATCATTATCTTCAGCCGTAATGGTGATCGAAAATCCCGCAAGTAATTTGCTTTATTAATATATAAAAGTGACTGGTATTTGAAATCTTACAAAACTAAGTAAATGCCGCAAGTTTATCAGATTTGTTTTCTTATCAATCTGAATTCATATCCTGTGGTTTGGCACTCAATTTTGCTTGGAACGTTTATCTGACTTTGACCATAAACGTGATCAAAAATCCCGCAAGTTATTTACTTTATCAATCTATAAAAGTGACTGGTATTTGAAATCTGACAAACTAATTAGAGGTGGCGTGGTTCAGTGGATACGTCACCGGACCGTAGATTACAAGGTTCGCGATTCGAATCCCACCGCGGCACTAACGCCCTTGTGCAAGACATTAATCTACATTTTCCGTGCACTCTTCATCCAGGTGAAGTAAATGGGAACCCGGTAGGAAGAAATTCCTTGAATGATTTGGCGCCTTATCATGGGGGTAATAAAGTGATATTTTGTATCAAGCACAGTAGTAGTGCAGTAATTGCGCTATATAAATGAACCTATTGTTGTCATTGTTATTACATGCTGCAGGTTTGTTAGAGTTATAGGAGTAGCATGATGCCCACATGCCCACAGAGAAACTACTGTAGTTAAATAACTTACTATTTTTGTAGTACATTGTACATCTACAATGAACGACAGATTCCAATAACCTAGATTCCTGTTCCTTTCGGGTCGATAGTTTGGAGGTGTCGGGGTTTAGTGGTTCACGCACTTAACTCTCAATCTAAGGGTTGAGGATTCGAATCATATCCCGGCAGTAATTTCTTTTGGCAAGACATTGATCCTCATTTCCTACTCTCCATCCAGGTGTAAATGGGTGCCTAGGAATCGTTGCAGTAAAAAGTATAACATGGTCCTCAGGAATAGAAGTTTTAATACTGAGATATTATTAAATAGAGCTTATAGCGTGTATAATACCCCATCCTATCCGTATTAGATAATAATACATAAGTCAGGTCAAGTGAAAAGAGGAGCAAAACACATCGAAAGGTCATGTGATCAGTATTCACAAAGCTCCATACAGCTGTTACCTAATCAATAAAGACGAGTGTTCTTGAGACTCCTAAGAGAGAGAGGTTTCCTAGATCTGCCTTGCGTTAGACACAGGGAGGGGCTGGGTCGGAAGTATCCTTAAACACCCCCCCCCCCCCACCCCCCCCCACCCCTCATGATAGAGGAAAAAATGATATAAAATCTCCTTAAGAGTATGCCTAAAATAAAGTTGCATTTTCCAAAACCCTTTTTGTGCTTTCTACTGAATGAAATTTGATGTGTGCCGCTGCCACTACTCATAATACTAAAACTAAAAGTGAAGAGAATTCTTTATTTTCTTTCAATGTGTAACTAACATATGCCTATTTCGGAAACGCAGTTCATGATGTATATTATGTGCACTTTTAAACTGATGTTTGTGTTGAAGGTTTATTGGAGACATAGCCGTGTATTGATTAAAGTCCATGAAACGCTTGGTTCTGTTCATTAAAACATCCAGTGCAATGGGTTAA